CAATCTATCACTGGGATTTCCATGTGTAGGTGGGATGCAAGAAATTCTCAGTTTGGTTTGACACTCTTAAGCATGGTGATCGGTTTCCATGTGTGTCAGACGCCCCAAAAAATGTACTGTTATTCAGCTTATATTAATTATAGTGTTAAGTGCTGACAAATGAAACAAAGAGTTTTCAGATTTCTGACAATGTTTCTAACTAGTAAGTAGTTGAATTAGAACATGGAAATAAGAAGTCTGAGTCGATATCCCTGGACCCTGAAGGCCAGCAAGGATAGTGAGGTTGGGGCGTGTGCTTCGAGAGTGGACTGGCAAGGTAGAGTCTACACAAAAGTCAGTTTTTTGCCCGGCCTGCCTAGGTATGAATTCCAGATATCTGGAGTATGTAGGGGCGGTTACTGTACTAGGACTGACGTGAAACAATCAGGAAAAAAAGAAATAAATACATCTACTGCCAAGAATTATCCAGCACTTTAATACTAAACAAAATATCTATTAGAAGTACTAAACCAGGTGCACAGGCACCTCATCACTTTGAAACAACAAAGTTAAAACCCTAGTAATTAGGAGTGTTGTCTAAAAAGACAGTATTCATTAACTGGAAGTCACGGCACTAATTGTGCCTGAAATTGCTGGTGATTTGCAAACAAATTATCTCCAAACAGTCAATTCCAAATGCCAACAATGAAAGGTTGTTTTTGCAGCTGACATTTTCGCAGACTTTCCATCCACCGCAAACTAAATGAAGTTACAATTAAAACAGAATCTTGCAGTTTGAGAATACTGCTTTTTAGACATCAAAATTTAGTTCGCCAACTTTTCTTCAGATAAATAACTTATTCCTCCCAGAAATACTTGTGTCTTTCCCCTCCATTTCAGCCAGGAATAATAATAATAACAATCCTTGCATTTGATATAGCGCTTTTCACGTCTTCTAGACGTCCCAAAGCGCTTCACAGAATATACTGTAAAGTGAATTGAAATTTACCAAATATTGACTGGACAACTGAGAGCACCTTCTGCAGGATGCAATTCTGTTAGGTCAGCAGCTTGAAGCTACACACAAAAAGGGTATGTTGACTTGCCGTTCATTTTCTCCCCAAACCTTTGAGAAGTTGAGCTCCAGCACTAAAATCTCTCTAAAGCATAATTCAGCAAATGGGAACTTAGACCAATCTTCCCTCCTGCCATTACACTCCCCTTCCAAATTCTGGTGTCAATTGAACAGACTTGTGTATTTTTAAATCATTTAAACCTTATTTATTCCATTACAGAAAGACGCAGTGGAAAGTGCGGGACAGCATCACCAGACTTCAAACTCACTCTAAAATTGTTTCGCATATTTTGTGGAAGACTAAATCTTAATTTCTTGGCAATCAAATTAGGTCAATTTCGATTTGTCTATGAGTTTTCAACACAGACTAACGTTTAGTTGTAAGGGATATCTTTTGGGAAGAAAGCTCTCGACTCTCAAAGTGTGATTGATGTGGCTTGCTACACTGACATACTACATTTAGTCTAGCTTCTTACTTTAAACAAACAGCCATTGCAGGTTTCATTTTACCCCTAAAACTCAACAATCTGTTGGTACCTGATAATGACAACCTTCAATGAAATACTCCCTTTGATGCATCGGTTGTTACAAGAATAATTACATGAATTGTATGTGTTTTTATATAAACACTAACCATTATTCTATGTTAAGCCATATACCAGCACTATTCATAATTTAAACCAGGAATTTATGGACAGGTTTGCAACTAAAAAGCAGAAAAGTTCAATAAGAGAAAAGCCCTTGGAAACAATGTAAACTAAATTCAATTAGTACACAGTAAAAGAGCTCCTTTTATTTTCTGAATAACCAAATGCCCATGAAAATAAGGCTCAACTTTTTCCATCATACCCTTTTGCTGGCAGTATCCCACTCCTTTGTCTTCAGTTTTAGGTTCATTTCCCATCTTACTGAGAACAAAGAAGGTTGAGGTGACCTGAGAGAGATCTTTATAAAATTATGAGGAGTTTTGATAGAGTCAATTGGAAGAAATTATTTCCACTGCCGGGTCAGTCAATGACTCTAGGGCATCAATTTAAGATGGTAATAATAAAAATCCTTGCATTTGATACAGTGCCTTATCAGAACTTCAAGACATCTCAAAGCACTTCACAGTATATTCTGTGAAGTAGATTGTCTGTGCATTTTATGCGGGTAACGCAGCAGGTAATTTGGACACAGCAAAGTCCCACAAGCAGCCATGACAAACAACCAATGACCAATTTTATTTGGGGGATTTATTGGCCAGGATACTGGAAGAAACTCACTTCTCTTTTCGATTTGTGACATGAGATCTTTAACAACCACCTAAACAAGTAGATGGGACCTTGGTTTATTGCCTCATCCAAAGGAAATTAGTAAATGGAAAAGTTAGGAGAATTTTTTTTACACACACTGAATAGTTAGGATATGGAATGCCCTGCCAGAAGTGATTGAGGCGTGATCCATATTGGCCTTCAACAAGCCTTCAAGAAAGTGTCTTAAAACGATTCAGCCTCAGGGTATGGGGAAAGGGCAGGAAATGGGACTGAAAGGACTGCTTTCAAGGGAGCTGGCAAACACAATGGGCTGAATGTCTTTCTCCTGTGCCATCAACTTCTATGGTACCTTGTGTGTCTTTATATCAAGAAAATTAAACTAGCAGGGCAAACTGAACACTACCCATATCCTGAAACATTCAAAGAAAATAAAAATTCCAATAGAAGCATAATGGCGTACAGTAAAATTCACATAAGTTGTATCAGTCGGGACCATAATGTTTAATATGACAAAAGCGTAATCTGAGTTGCAGGCAAACTGTATAAATCGTATAAAATTCAATTTAATCAATAACCTACACTTGCGCGTGCATAATTCAATGCAACCAGTAAGTGTGCAAGTGGCAGTTTGTCAATGCAGCCAGCAAAAGCACAGCCAGCAAGTACGTATGCAGTGAAGGATCAAGACTACATTTCCTGGGATGCAACTTAATAATACTTGCATTTGATACAACAGGCTATCATGTCATTGAGATGTCTCAAAGCGCTTCACAGAATATACTGTAAAGTGGATTGATTATGTATCGTGTGGCCAAAACGCAATGTCTTGAAAAAAATGCCGCATAAGCACTTGGAAGTGCATTGTATCACAGGAAATGAAGTTCTTCTCCGCATGTGGCGATGGATCAATACTACATTTCCCGTGATTCAATGTAGCCGGCCGCTAAGTGAACATGCGTTGATGGGTTAGGACGTCATTTCCTATGATTCAATGTGTAAGTGCAGGAGTAATCGAGAGTAACAAAGAAGCCTAAGCGGTTTTGAAAGAAAACTGAACGGTATTCGGGTGAATGTACCACTTAGGCAATTATACAATTGAAGACTTCTTAAGATAAGACTTCTGCAAGCTTTACTGTAGCGTTTAACTAACATGCTGCAGTGTCATGGAGTGGCAGAACAAATTCATACCAACACCTGAAGAGGCCTCAAGCCTCTCCAGAGAGGAAGAGTCAGTGGGCTGCTTACCTAGACTGCTTTCATGCACTTCCAAGCAATCAAAAGTTCATATATAGAGGAACACAGGAGAGGTACCAGAGGTCACTCAGGAGCGGTACCAGAGGACAACTAGCTTCTCAATGCCGCTTTATTGTGTAATACTATGTAGTGCCGGGAATGTGCTATATTGTTGGAGGTGTCTTCTTGGGATGAATCATTAAACCGACTAGTCAGGTGGATGTTAACAGTCCCATGGCACCTCTCGAAAAACAAAGAGTTTCTCTCAGTATGTGGCCCCCGATAATACTGGTCATTCACTTCATAGTTGTTTGTGAAGCGTTGCTGTGCTGTGAGCATATTGGCTGCAGCATTCAACTACAAAATACACAGTGACAACACTTTATAGTAAATCTTGTGAAGCACTTAAGAGATGTCCTCCTGATGGGAAAGGTGTTATAACAATTGCAAAGATAATTATTAATATTAATAAGATTGGCCCCACACTGGTTTATTAATGTTTTTGGTCAGCCAAGTGTCTGACACTGTAGAAACCAATCACCATGCTTAAGTGTACAAATTCCGCCTTGCCCCTTCCTTCCCCATCTTCAGGTTTCGCCTGAAGACCTTCCTCTTCGACTGTGCCTACGGTCACGATCTCCCTCCCTCCAGCTTGGCGTTATGCTCTGCCACTGTCAAGCGCTCTGGGACGTTTCCCTGCGTGAGTAGTGCTATCAATGTAAGTTGTTGTTGCAGACAAAGTTCTGTATATGTATCCTACCTAGACATGGAAAATATGCTATGTCTGGAATGAAATGTCTCTCTTCATGGAGGGATGCAGCCTGCTCACTGACAACATTCAAAAATGAAGGCTATTCTGTATTCCACAGTTCCTCATCATGTATCCTCTATTAAATACCAGTCACATTCAAGACAACTTCAAAATGTCCCATTGAACAACCCTCAATAAAATTCCAACTCAGGAGAAGATTGAGTCCTGTAGCTCAGTGGTTAGAGTACTCGCTTTGCAAGCGAGAGACCTGAGTTCAATTCCAGGGAGAGGGCGAAACCTTGGGCAAGTTTCCTTACTCCACACGCCTAATAATAATCCCTCCAAAACCCAAAAAATAATAAATTGGTCATTTTCAATCCACGACTGTTTGTGGGACATTGCTCTGCGCAATTGGCTGCCGCGTTTGTCCACAAATATACAGTCAATTCCGTGTTCCGTGAAGCGCTTTGGGACGTCCTCCCGACGTGAAAAGCGCTATATCAAATGCAAGGATTATTATTATTATAAGATAGGTACCACAAAATATTAAACTATTTTCCATTAATAACTCTGGGAGAAGGCTTTAAAACCAACTAAGATTGCTGACAAGAAGTTCCTTCCATTTAAATAGCTGCAAAAGTTACTAACAAATAACTCTTGGGTATGACTTAATTTCCATTATCTGCACAAATCTGTTGCCACCTACCTGGTAGATTGCATTTGCCTTGTAGTTTCTGGGTCCTCAAACATCTTCACAATTGGTTCAGTTTCAGACTGGAGCTGCTTCAGTTGTGCAACCACAGTCGTACGCTTTTCTCTCAGAGCTAAAATTCAAACAAAGAGAATGGTTTATGGGGTCAAACAAACAAAAGGTTCCAAGTCTGAGCTCGATCATTTTAAGCATTGAAATGCAAAAAGAAAACTTTACACATCATATTTCAATGTTTTAAAACTGTGCCTCCCTATGCACACTACAGGTAAAGGCAAATTACTTCTATTGAAGCATTTTGGAAGGGTATTCAGAACATCTGGCAAAGTTACTTTAGACAGTTTTCTGGCACTAACTGTGTACATTCACCACAAGATGCAATGGACATTACAATACACAACATCTTAAACAAGCACTGCCAGTAACTTGAGTCATGCAATCATCAAATAGCAGCAATAAGTACTAAACAAGCAGGAAATAAGGCCCTTGATCCCTGTAAATTATGAAGCAGCGCACCCAATCTGGGAACGTTTTCATGTCAAATTGATTCAAGAACAAAACAGATAAAGTAGAAACGGCCTTTTATCCCAACTAGTCTACTCCTTATGGACCATCCAAACCCTTGGACTCCATTCCAATAAACTCTTGAGGAAAAGTTCTGCAATTGATCTCCAAAGGTAATCGAGGAAAATTTCCTTGTCATTTCCATCTACAAACATCCTTTTTCTCTCTATTGATTCCAAGCACAATACAATTGATGGCTATGAAATGTCACTTAGCCTGTAGGACTATACTGTCCTAAAATGTAATGATGGTGCAGGAATATTGAAAGTTATTCAATTCAGTCCTAATTTGGAATCTCTTCTCCAGCTTCTTAAAAGGAATACTTTTCGAAATAAATAATGAATTTAAAAATTTTCAACAATTCATCACAATCTTACATTTTAAGGCAAAATGGTCTTACAAACCATGACCAGATGAAATTTGGGGCATTGTGGAGTACTTGTTGATGTCAGTCTACACCTATGACCTCCAATACTGTTCTCAACCGGTTGCTCAGCCAGTTCATTTTTAAAGAGATTAAATCAACTCCACATCAAGTGCTTTTGTCGAGTTTGTTATAACTTTACCAGAATTGGCGACCAAATTTGAATATTCATGAACAGATAAGATTTTAGTGGTTGAGTTACATTATTGATATTTATTCATAAGACTGTGAATGACAAACTTCACAACTGTCCATTAAATTTAGAATTGCATTTTTACCAGTCAATTTCTAAATCCATTTGACATGCTGAATGTTACTCACCTTGAGGGATTTCCTTATCTGAATACAAGTTCTTGTACACGTCCATGGCAAAGTCAACCATGTTTGTGTCACTGAGAAGATCCAGTTTACCCTGGAGAAGTTCTTTTTCATTGTAAATCTGTTGCAACAGAAGAGTCACAGTACCATTTTAAATAAGAACATTGAACCCCACATCAAATTCCATCAAAATCTAAAACCAGAATTAGTCTTAGCCCGAGATCGGTAGATTGAAGACTCCGGTCTGTATATTGCACAATTCTGTTCATTAATACCAGTAACAGTTAGCTTATGCACGTTTACACTAAGAATATCAAAGTAAGAAAACTACTACTGCATTAATACAAATATTTAAACTAATAGCTTTATAATAATAACCTGCATTTGATATAGCACTGTAGTAAAAATATCTCAAAGCACTTCACAGTAATTACCATTAAGTGTAGTGACTGTGTATTTGTAGATAAAAATGGCAGTCACTTTGAATACAAACTCCCACAAACTGCCAGGAGGTTAATAACAAACTAGTTTGGAGTACTATTGGCCAAGAAACACTGGCAGAAATTCCTTTGTCTTTTTGAATAGCGTCAGGAGTTCTTTAACATTCAGCTCAACAGATAGATAGGACTTTAGTTTAACGTCTCAAAGAAAGATGGCATCGCTGACAATGAAATGCTCTCCCAATACTGCGCTGGGGTGTTAACCTCGCCTGCAAACTCAAAGTTTCTAAAGTTGGGTTTCAACACACAATCTCCTGATCCAGATGGAAGTGTGCTTACAACTGAGCCAAGATAATTACTGTATAATGTTATAGTAAGTAATTCAGAGACTTTTAATGTTTGTTCAATCCATTAAACTGTAGCTCAGTAGTTAGAGCTCTCGCCTCGCAAGTGAGAGACCTGAGTTCAATTCCAGGCAGGGCGAAACGTTGGTCAAGTTTCCTTACTCCACACGCCTAATAATAATCCCTCCAAAAACCCAAAACAATAATAAATTGGTCATTTTCAATCTACGACTGTTTGTGGGACATTGCTGTGCGCAATTGGCTGCCGCGTTCGCCCACAAATATACAGTCAATTCACTTTACAGTATATTCTGTGAAGAGCTTTGGGACGTCCTCCCGACGTGAAAAGCGCTATATCAAATGCAAGGATTATTATTATTATTACTCCACACGCCTCTGTTTACCTAGCAGTATGTAGGAACCCAGATGTTAGTCGATTGGCTGATCGCTTTTGGTCACTTCAATTCATGACTGTTTGAGGGACACTGCTGTGCGCAGATGGCTGTGCGTTTCGCCTACAAAATATACAGTCAATTTACTTTACAGTAAATTCTGTGAAGCCCTTTGAGACGTCTCAAAGATGTGATAAGGCGCTATATCAAATGCAAGGATTATTATTATTTATTATTACAGTAACGTGTCGGTCTAATATTACGATTTTTAATTTTAAACAAATGGGAGGGGGAAACATTTTATATACTTTAAGGTGGCATTATCTTAAATTTCAGACACAAATAAATTCTCACGACTTTGTCCACAGAATATATCTCAACAAAAACCACAAAAAGCACTTTTGCCCATGAACTGGATGGAGATGGCACAAAAATTAATGTACGCCTCATACACCCAAAAGAAGATTTCTATGCCATCATTGTGAACTGGATTCAAAACCAAATCCTGGTGGTACATGGAAGGTCAAGGTCTTAAGCCACAATCATCATTGGTGGTATATTAACTGGATATTTTCAACAATGTTCAAGGAGACAATTAAAAAAGCCAACCCATCATGCTTCACCTAGATGGAAAACATTTCATACCTCTAACATCATGCTTTACTAAACCCTACTCTTCATCTTACAAATAAAGATTTTTAGATAACAGATTGATTATAATTCTACTTGAGAATATGCCAGTGTTAATACACTGACAGCCCTTGAAAATAGATAGCATTAGTTAAGAGTTTAATTCATAGCCAGTTACTATAAGAATAGGGTTAAACTAGTGTGCTTTTTTTCTGTGATTGTCTGCATATACAAGAACTGCTAATAGTTTTTGTCAGTCGTGTGTGACTTTTATGACACTTGTAGCATTTTTAATTTCACTGAAAAATCAGTCAACATAAGACAAATGAAACAGGAAGTCAAAAATTAAAACAACACACTATGAGAAGAGCACTGCTGATAAATATGTATGAGAAACTGAAATCTTTCTACAGATGCTATATTCAAATAGTTGTAGTTTTTGAAACCCATGCACAATTAAGGTTGTATTAAAATCCATTTAGTCTATTGCATCAGACAAGCACATTGGTTGATTGTAATTGTAATTCTCTTTACTCCTTAGTGTGTGAACCAATATTATTTTCAGTTTGAATCCAAGGAGTTTCTGCGCACTCTTGCTCTCCCAAAACACCTCTGACTTGTACATATGGCAGGATTAATTCTTTGGCTTGCCTAGTTCTGACTGATACAGAACTCTGTTATCACTCACTTAGTTAGAATGCACGCCAATTACAGTGCAATCGGGGTGTGGACCCCAACATTATATTTAGCAAAGTATAAAAAATTTGCATAGAAAACCAGACAAAAAGCAATGTCCCACTACAAAACTCATGATCACACGACTATATGTTTTGAAGCCTGACACTGCATGAAGCGCAATGTGTTTTGAAGGTAGACTTCTCAATTTGATGTGTGATACACACTGATGGAGTTAGCAAGCAATCAGTGTGCATGACAGTGATGTCATCAGTTGTGTGATGGGCAACAGCACGATTCAGAACCGCTGACTAGTGATCTCTCACTTTTTTTACAAGGCTGGTTGGGATTTTATGAGCCCCCAGCTATTACCTTAGAAGAGGGCTCCACTGTATGTATTCACATCAATAACAACCTGGCAAACTATGATCACTTATTTGATTAGTTGTACAATTGGCCATTAACAGGAGCTTTTTTGCTTTAAAAAAGACAAAATGAAGTTGCTCCTAACCTTCAAGATTGGAGTTTGAGTACAGTCTACTTTAGTTAGGTTCACTAATTATTTTCAGCAAATTCATAAAACTATACCGTATAGTAATATTACTGCTTATTGTGATGTTCCACAAATGCAACAGGTAGATTTTTTTCGATCAGCCGGGTATCTGACACAGTGGTGATGGGTTTCCGCATGCATCAGGCACCCGGCTAACCACAAAAAAATGTAGAAGCAGGGATTCTTCAAACCAAAGCCCCAATGGGTAGGGTGTCCAAGACAGCTTGCGAGGGAGGCAGTGTTCACATTGGCAAGCTATGTGATACCCCGTGATCCCCAAGTATTGGATTTGCCAACCTGTGCCAAATACTTTTAGGTAAGGAGGCTGCTTGTCTCTGGAGAGAGAATGCATTTTCTATTCTAGATACATGAATACTTATACATATGTGAATTCATATTCATACATGGAGTATTCATATGTGAAACTCTTGAGACTGGTTGGATGGTGATGGGTTTCCAAATTAACGATTGGAAGAATGGATTCCAAAATAGTACCGCCCTGCAATAGAGCCTTCACATAAAAGTCCCATTTGAAAACTTATATTGTACTTCGGTGTCAAAAAGCATCAAAACCTATTGATTTCCATTACAGCTTCTTTAAAGTTCATTTCGGTCACCGTCTACTTTAGGTCACGGCCAAGTATCTCGCCAATCTGAAGGTGCCTTTGAGTTCTAGTTCAAATCATGGGTAAGAAAACACAAGACAAAAAGATTTATTAATCATTGATCCACTTAAAAATGGAATAAATCATCTCAAGTACCAATACACGGAGAGCGGCAGAACTTTCCATTCCCCCAAAACTCTGTGTGTAGGCGTGAGGGGGAGGAAGAGGGAAGAGTACTTTGAATAACCAGGAACGAGCCACAATGAGATGTCAGAAGATATTGGGGAACCAAAAAAGAACCCAATCCTATGAAGAAGAGAGAGAGGGAGAGGGAGGGAGAGGGAGAGAGAGGAAACAGCCCCGGGGTGAAGCCCAGTCGCTCGGGAAGCCCGAAAGTAACCGCAGCAAAAGATAAATAACAACATAAACAACAGCGAAAATAAAATAAATACACAATAAGAATAAGAAGAGTGACCGCGGACCTGCCCGCGAGCCCGAGGCCTCTCCTCTGCTCTCCTCCCCTCCTCCCGCACATGTGGCATCCATCCCGCGACAGGGCCCCGGCCCGGGGCTGGCGTCGGTGCGGGAGGCAGGAGGAGAGGAGAGGAGAGGAGGGGCTGGTACAGGGCTCGCATCCTCCCACTAATGCTTTACCTCTTTAACGGACAAGAACTCGAGCAGCGGGAACACGAGGTGCCGGTCCAGGAAGTTGGCGATCTTCATGGTCAGGTCGTAGTCCGCCATGTTGGCAGCGGGGAGACAGGCGCACTGACTGCGTCACTACGTCACCGCGTGCCCCGCCGCCAGATTCCGCGTGTGCATTGGTGAGGCCCCGCCCCCTCGCCGTCAATCAGACAAAGGGGGCGGAGATTCCCCTCGCCGTCAATCACACAAAGGGGGCGGAGCTTCCCCTCGCCGTCAATCACACAAAGGGGGCGGAGCTTCCCCTCGCCGTCAATCACACAAAGGGGGCGGAGTTCCTTTCCTCACTCTTCACCCAATGTGGCCAGGTCATAATAATAATATAATAATCCTTGCATTTGACATAAGAAGATAATAATAATAATATTAACAATCCTTGCATTTGATATTAGTGCTTTTCACGTCTTCTAGACGTCTCAAAGTGGAGTCCTGCAGCTCAGTGGTTAGAGCACTCGCTTTGCAAGTGAGAGACCTGAGTTCAATTCCAGGCAGAGGGCGAAACCTTGGGCAAGTTTCCTTACTCCACACAGAGCCTAATAATAATACCTCCAAAACCAAAAACAATAATAAATTGGTCATTTTCAATCTACGACTGTTTGTGGGACATTGCTGTGCGCAATTGGCTGCCGCGTTCGCCCACAAATATACAGTCAATTCACTTTACAGTGTGTTCTGTGAAGCGCTTTGGGACGTCCTCCCGACGTGAAAAGCGCAATATCAAATGCAAGGATTATTATTATTATTATTATTAATGTTATTTCCTAAAAGAAAACTATCTAATCTGTGTTTGAAAGAATCAACACTTCCTGCTTCAACCATCTCCCTAGGGAGCCTGTTCCATAGGTTCATGATTTGCTCACTGAAATAGTGTTTGCGTAGATTTGTTCTGAATGTCCCCCTCACACCCTCACCCCCCCACTTCAATCGTTGTACTATTTTACTATTCTGGACAAGTTGCTTAGCCCCTTTAGAATATTAAAGACAGCAATCATGTCGTCTCTCAAACTTCTCTTTTCCAGATGAACATGTCCAATTTACTTAGTCGCTACTCATAGTCCAATACTTCCATTCCCTCAATCATTTTGGTTGCCCTCCTCAGTATCTTCTCGATTTTTCCAATATCCTTTTTGTACTGTGGTGATCAGAAATGTACATCAGAAATGCTCCTCGTGTGGTATATAACATTTTATCACGTTGTCAAGACGTCTCAAAGCGCTTAAAAAAATATTTTGTGGGCAAAACGGGGCAGCTAATTGCATACAGTAGTGTTCCACAAACAGAAGTGGATTGAGAGACCAAATTATTGTTAATTTTTGATGATAAACCCCAGAACACCAGTATTGGACAGGTGCCTAATTTTTAAAAAAAATTATTTAAACCTTTGGATTTATTTAAAAATGTTTCCCGTCCCCCTTTGAAACCCTCCCTGGACCCTTCTCTACTCCCTAACTACCACCCCATTTCAACCTTCTCTTCCTCTCCATGGTCCTGGAACGAGTCGTTGCTTCTCAGCTTCACTCCTTCCTCTCTTGCCACTCCCTTCTCAAACCCCTCCAACCGAGTTTCCGTGCCATCCACAGCACAGAAACCACCCTAGTCGAACTGACAAATGACATTCTGTCCATCTGCGACCAGGGCACCCTCTGCCTCCTCGTCCTCCTTGACCTCCCTGCTTGTCAACCACTCTATCCTCATCCACCGCCTCTCCTCTCACCTCAACCTCTACGGCGCTGTTCTTGATTGGTTCAGATCGTACCTCTCACACGGCCTCCACTTCATCTCCTCAAACGGCTTCTTCTCTAGCCCCCGGAACATCTCGTGCAGCGTTCTTCAGGGCTTGTCCTTGGTCCCCTCCTCTTCAACATTTATATGCTTTCTCTTGGTGACATCATCCACAGACATGAGGTCAACTTCCACATATATGCGGATGACATCCAACTCTGCCTCTCTGCCTCTACCCTTGACTGACTCCAGGACCACTGCTGTGCTGACAGAATGTCTGTCAGACATCAAGTCCTGGATGAGAGCTAACTTTCTTCAGTTGAATGTCAACAAGAACGAGGCTCTCCTGATTGGCTCCCGCCAGCGCCTCCTCACCTCAGGCGCTGACAGCATCACCATCCATGGTTGCACACTCCACCTTACTGAGCCAGTCCGGAACCCTGGGGTCTTGTTTGACCCTCAACTATCCTTCCCTCATCTGCGCCACGACCTGCTCTGCATTCCCCCACCTCCTCAACATCGCCGGGCTCCGACACTGTCTCACACTGCAGGCCGCCGAAACCCTCATACAGTCTTCATTACATCGAGGCTTAACTATACAAACTCGCTGCTTGTCGGCCTCCCCAAGTTCTCCCTCCACAGGCTGCAGATCATCCAGATCTCTGCAGCTCATGTCCTCTCCCGCACTAGGCTCCGCGACCCTATCATCCCCATCCTTGCCCAACTCCACTGGCTTCCCATCACACAGAGGGTACAGTTCAAGATCCTGGTCCTCATCTTGAAAGCCTCCCCCCATTCTCTCTGACCTCCTAACCCCCTACCATCCTGTTCGCTCCCTCCGCTCAGCGGGCTCCAGCCTGCTTCATGTACCTCGCCTTTCTCGCCCCACTATCAGCGGGCGGGCCTTCCGCCACTCTGCACCCACCCTCTGGAACTCCATCCTACAGTCCCTCCATCTCGCCCCCTCCTTCACCATCTTCAAGGCGCACCTCAAGACCCTCCTCTTTGACCATGCTTTCTCTTCAACCATGCCTTCAGCTTCCCTCTCGACTCTTTACCCCTCCTCGCTCCCTCCCTCCCTTCCCTCCCCTCACCCTGACCATTTCCCGCCTGCTCGGGTCCCGACCCAACTGTCCAGCGCCTTGGGACGTCCTCCCGACGTGAAAGGCACTCTATAAATGCAATCTTGTTGTTGTTGTTGTTGTTGATCTCCCTGCTTCCTCCCCTGCCCTCCCCACTCCCACACCCCGACCCTCAGATCATGTCCGTAACTCTATCTGTCCAGCGCCTTGGGACATCCTCCTGACATGAAAGGCGCTTTACTAATGTAATTTTGTTGTTGCTGCTGTTGTTGTTGAAGACCATTTCTTATACAGTTTCAATAGCATTAACCTAAATTGGCCACTATGTTACCCATAGATTTCCAGTAGGGTGAAATGTTGGGCAGATTTCCTTACTCCACACACCTGTTTACAACAACAACAACAATGGTGGGATGGGTGAGGCGGGATATGTAAAGCAGGCCTGAGCCTGCTGAGCGGAGGAAGCGGGCATGTCTGCGGATGATGTCACCAAGAAGGAGCATATAGATATTGACGAGGAGGGGACAGAGGACAGTGACAGAACCCTGAGGAATGCCGAATGAAATGGTGCGGGGGCTAGATGAGAAACCATTTATAGAGATTAAGTGGAGACAGTGTGAGAGACAGTTTCTGAACCATTCAAGGACAGGACCATGAAGGTTGAGGTGAGAAAGAGAGGCGGTGGAGGAGGATAGAGTGGTCAATGGTATCGAAGGCAGCAGAGAGGTCAAGTAGGATGAGAAGGCAGTGGGAACCCTGGTCACAGATGGACAAAATGTCATTTGTCACTTTGACCAAAGCTGTTTCTGTACTCTGAGTGGTACAGAAACCCGATTAGAGGGGTTTGTGAAGGGAATGGTGGGAGATGAAGGAGCGAAGCTGGGAGGCAATGATTTGTTCTTGGACCTTGGAAAGGAAAGGGAGGTTGGAGATGGGGTGGCAGTTTAAGAGCAGAGATGGATCCAGGTAGGGTTTTTTAAGGATAGGAGTGATAACAGACATTGTTAAAGGGGTGGGAATGGTACCAGTAAACAGGGAGAGGTTTATGATGTCTGTGAGTAGAGGGGCAAGGAGGTGGAGCTGGGAGGTAAGTAGAGGGGTAGGGATGGAGTAGAGGGAGCAGGTAGTCGGATTCATGTGGGTTATACTGGTGGTGAGAGAGAAGTGGGAGTCAGATTCAAAGGTGTATACACAATAGAATTTAGAATTTAGTATTAAGTTAGAGAGCGATGTAGTCAAATCCGAAGCAAGGGTCTTGAATTTAAATAAAACTAACTTTGCAGATATGAAGGAAGAATTAGCTAAAATAGACTGGGAAATTAGATTAATGGATATGACAGTGGCAAACGTTTAACGATGTAGTGCAAAATTCTCAGAGGTTACATATTCCCTTGAGGAATAAGAGTGCCACAGGGAAAGCAGTTCACCCGTGGCTAACTAGAGAAGTTAGAGAAAGTATAAAACTAAAAGAAAAGGCCTACAAAACTGCCAAAAAGAGTAGCAAACCTGAGGACTGGGAGTGCTTTATGTACCAACAAAGGAAAACCAAAAAGCTCATTAAGAGTGAGAAAATGGATTATGAGGGGAATTTAGTTAGGAACATTAAGACAGATTGTAAGAGTCTTTATAAATACATTAAGAGGAATAGGCTAGCAAAAGTAAATGTGGGTCCATTACAGGCGTGGAGTCCTGTAGCTCAGTGGTTAGAGCACTCGCTTTGCAAGCGAGAGACCTGAGTTCAATTCCAGGCAGGGCGAAACCTTTGGCAAGTTTCCTTACTCCAAACGCCTAATAATAATCCCTCCAAAACCAAAAACAATAATAAATTGGTCATTTTCAATCTACGACTGTTTGTGGGACATTGCTGTGCGCAATTGGCTGCCGCGTTCGCCCACAAATATACAGTCACTTCACTTTACAGTATATTCTGTGAAGCGCTTTGGGACGTCCTCCCGACGTGAAAAGCGCTATATCAAATGCAAGGATTATTATTATAGAGACAGGAGGAATTATAATGGGGGATCAGGATATGGCAGAGTCCCTAAGTAAATACTTTGCTTCTGACTTCATGTTAGAAGGCACACGAAGTTTACCAGAAATAGAGATGAACCAAAGGGCTAATGATAGGGAGCAACTTTGGGAGATTAACATTAGCAAAGAATTGGTGCTAGGGAAATTGTTGGCATTAAAAAGTGACAAGTCCCCTGAACCTGATGGTTTGCATCCTAGGGTTTTAAAAGAGGTAGCTCATGAGATAGTGGAGG